GTTATATACATTTGAAAATTTAACCTATGTTTTTTTTCCTCCCGAAAAAAAAAAAAGATTGGTTTTAAAGTTAAAAATATAATTAAGTATTTTTTTTTCTTTCTAAATGCACATTTTCATTCACCAATAGACTGTAAAGATAATTTTACAACATAAAGGTATTTCACAATTTACCACTTGTTAAATGTGTGTCTTCCATTTATTAGTTAAAATGATGATCAATTTGTCAAATGGATCAATTTATGTTGGTTGTTTTTACAATCATATATAAATGACGTTTGAATAGTTGTACCGAAAGACATGTAAAAATAAATAAAAATAAAAGTCAAAGACCAAGTTGGACTTGAAGCAATAGTTCGAAGGAATCAAGTCCCTAAAAATGTTATTTTTAGGTAGGGTCGTAGGGATGTCAAAACCCCTGTAACGGTGGTTTGAGGGGGTGTGGTATAAGCAATTCGGGGGAAGAAAACGTGAAATGAGGGATTTCAGAAGCAGAGAAAATAAATAGTCATTTAATCTGTCATCTAACATAGATGTGAAAGATAAGAAAACATATAAGTTGTGTTTATTTGATTGAAGTGGAAAAAATGACATTTATGATCGAGCCATTTGAAGGTGTGTTTTGGAAACTTTGATTGGTTATCACAAAAATCTTTAGTAGGCTACGTGGAGTGGTCACCACCAACTCACCGGAAAAGTGGTGTCACCTCTGCGCCACGTCACCTTCACCACCAACCCACTCCACTATGGAAATGGTCACCACTAACAACATTTACTTTTTTTTTTTTTTAACATTATATTAAATAAATAACATATTTTATAAATAACATATTTTATATTAATTAAAACCACATTACATAATTTAAAACATAGAAAATTAAAACTAAAATACTAAAAAAACATAATTCATACTTAGAAAATTAAACCTAAATTACTAAAAAACATCAAATCTAGTTGCGATATTGGTCGAGAACTTCTTGTTGAATTTTCAAAAACACCCTTAAATTTTCCGGGTCAAGATTTGGTTGCGGCACTGTGTTTACGATTTGAAGATTGGTGAGTGCCAATTGTTGCCGGCATTGCTCCTCCGTTGAATCAAATTTTTTTTCTAAAAAATTTAGAGTTTTTTTCGATTTTCTCCGCTAATACGTCCTCGTTGGTTGATTTCCCGCTATACGAAGCCCCCTTTCTCGCTTTATCCCTTCCCGGTGGTCAACGAAGATGGACGTCCGATGGACCCTCCCCCTCGGTGGCGTCGAACTCATCATTGAGGTCGAGGTTAGCACCGATGTTCGACTCAGACGTTCTCGACCTTTTGTTGGAACCGGTGGTAGATCCCGAATGCGCCGTTTCCGGATAAAGGACCTATTTTGGGCCATTGCGACAAACTTCTCACGCTTTTTGGTTGCCAAAAGGTTTACCATTGTTGGTAATTTTGTATTGGTGCAACGCCGTTGACAAAATGTTGAAATCGTTGCTACCACTTAGATGCATATTTTTTAGATTGTCAAATACGCCATTAAATTTGGTACACGTCGCTCTAAGATCATGCCATTTAGCATTGACTGAATCATATGTCCAGCTCGTTTGTCTTCCTAATAACGCGTGGAAGTGGTCTAAAACACGATTCCAAAAGCTTTGTCCTAATTGCGCGTTGCCGACATCCCCGTCTTGTGATATGGCAATCCAAGCTTTAGCTAAAGCTGCCTCCTCCTCC